TTGGCGTCAAACACTAAAAACAAAATCAGTTCTCTAACCACTCACTCATGAGGCAATGTTCCCTGCAAAGCACCAATAATTAATGTCCTCCCCCACTCATCTCCTGATGGTTTTTAGATAAATACATACCTAAAAAAGAAGTACTATATGCACTCAAAAAGCATGCCACTTCACATGTGGTAAAATCTACTTAAAGCTACCAAGTTTTTTTTCTATATTTAAAATTATGGAAACAACTGTTGAAGAACAAATTAAGTTTATAAAGCAGTTTTCAAAACACACTTTTTACTAGAAACAACATATTCATCATTTACTTGTTGAATTACTGATGTGGATTTCCTCTGTGGCTCTTCAGTCTAACTCACATGTTGAAAAGCTATGCAAAACTCAAGAATGAATAAAAAGGAAAAGGTAAGTGTAGACAAAAGAAACTGCAGTCCACAGATACACTCCTGTCAAAATCACCTTCCTGTCCTGGAGGAGGACAAGGTGAGGCTGACAGATCGTGGGAAACGTGAAAGCTTTTTGCTCCTGAAGTGTGAAGGAGAGAAAGGTAACATTTTTAAAAAACTGAGTTGTGAAATCTCTGTCAAATGTGAGATACTGTGATTTGAAGCATGTCTACTACACCAGACTCTCACGCAGACTTACCTGGGAATTCTTTTGCAAAACACAACTGGTATGGCTTTGCCCATGATACGTCCACATAACAAAAATAAATTATGTATTTCAAGAAAAAGAAAACTGCTGCCTATCATGTGAATTTCAGTTGTACCATCAGCCTAGATGATGAAAAGGCTAAATATGTGACTCATAGCTTCTCCATGACTCAGTTTGCTATGGCAAAAATGCCTTCCTAAATGAAAACCCTCTACTTGTATAGAAAATCATAGTACACCTAACAGTGATTTAGGACACACAAAAAATAATGTATTTTCTAATTTCCAGTGTGATAAGGTATAGAATGTAGTATAATGTGCCAAAATCAACAGCTGTGCTCTCAAACTAATGGTTTAAGTTATTCTTTCTATTGACAAGGAATTAAAAAAAAAAAAAGGCAATTAGTGGTTCCCAGGGGCCAGGGGAGGGTACATGGTGCCTCCGTCTCATGGTTCAGAGTTTCCCTTTGGGGTGATGAAAAAGTTCTGGAGATGGACAGTGGTGATGGCTATACAACAACAGGGATGTGCTTAATGCCACTGAACTACACACTTAGAAATGGTTAAAATGGTAAATTTTACATCGTGTATTTTTACCACAGTAAAAAAAATTTGTAATGTTATTAGCCTTCAAAACTAAAATGTGTTACTTGTTATAAATTCTTGTTCATCTAGGCTGATAATAAAAATCTCCCATAACAATGAAGTTAAAATGAGCACCCAATTAGATTAAGTGAATCATTAACATAACAAAAACATTTCGTCCTGGCTGAAAGCCACTAGCCACCACGCAAGCAAGATAGACTTACTGATTTTTACTCACACACACATTAACAATAAATTCATACAACCATATCCGTATTAGTCAAATAGTGAAAGAAACCACGGTGGAGCGGGGGTCAATATATAATACAAAAATTGAAAACCTTGTTACTATAGAATTATCAGAACTGCATGCACTCTCCAGGTGTAGAATCTATTAGAACAAAATAGCTGTGAGGCCAAGACTGTTATGTTGACTCTCTCACATACTCTCAATTGCTCCAGAAAATTGGGACAATTTCTGTTTGCTTACCACCAGTCCTAGTACGAGGGTGCGCACTCTCTCCCCAATCTCTGGTGAAATGTCGTTGCCAAACTGCTGCAGGGTCGTAAGGAACCGCTTCAGCTTGCTGAGCTGCCGGGCGCCACAGGCCGGGGGCAGCTGCTGATTAGCCAGAGAAGAGGAGGAGGAAGAGGAAGGCCCGTTGCTAAAACCATTGGGCGGCGAGGGGGCGCCATTCAAGGCTGTGGGTGAATGGCTTGTGCCATTAGTTACTGTCAAGGGCACAGATCAGAAAGAAAAAACAACTTACACAGAATACACACAAGGAAATCACAACCAAGTTCCCTTCCCATTAAATCTGTTCGATTTTGTAATTTAACAACTGTTGGGGCTTTTTTGTAAAAAGCTTTGACTTCACAGGATTACCAGAGGCTCAGGTATTCTATAACAAAATGGGTCTACTCTTCACACCACACAAGGGCGTTCTGCACAGAAGCTGATAACAAATGGAGTCGGCTGTAATTCAGGGACAGCCCTGCCTCCTATGCACACATATGCCAACCACCTGAAACGTTTCAAATACAGAACAAACTGCATTTGGATGAGAGCCTTTTGTCACAGGCTTACATCAATATAACAGGACTATTCCTTTCTAAGCTGCTCCCCTGGAGAAAATGTACATTTGGTGGAGACTAAATTTATCACTGAACATTTTTAATCATGTTTTGTACACACAACTGACAGCTGTGTTTATAGAAATAGGACTTTCAAGTTTTAACCTTATACCACCCAATTAGAAGGCTATTTTCTCCCCCTCGTATTTTTTTAACCACTTCTTTAGGGAAAAACGCATATTTTTATATAAGAAGCCAAAAACAGATATAGTAATTATCAAGGAGTTGTTTAATAAATTGAAAGGGGACAGCTCACTCCAACTAATAGCATGGATTAAGTGGTAATTCAATAAATTCACTTCTGATAAAATTTATTTTAACATCAAGAATGGTAACCCCTAAGAACCAGGCTGGACAACTTTGCACATTTCTCACTAAAGAAAATGTTGACTGTATCATGTTAAATTAATTAATTTGACAAATTGATCTTTATCAAACCCATCTTTTTAATATAGTTTTGATAAACTATCTTCAACAATAGTTTGGAGATGTTTTAAGTACCCTATTACTCTTAAAAGCTTTCAGATAATAAAATGGTCTCTTGCCCCAAAAGAGTACGAAAGCAATCTGTCAAGAAGTGATCATTCCCTAGGACCTGTCACAAGAGACATATGCCTGTCACTGTGGCAAATACGAGATGACAGGGTTACAGCTTGGCACGACTGCAGCCGCATGCTCCTTATGTGATTGGAAAGGTCTTTTAAATGGCAGTGAGACACTGTATTAACAGCCTGGGATGTATCCTTTGCCAATCCCTTATAATCCCATGGATCTATTTTTGCCTGTTACTTATTTCTCATTCATATAGATTTTATACATGTGGTCTGTAAATAGTACTATCTGCAACAGATACCATTTATTAGTTTCACAAATCCTCGATGACACTGTTAACCAGGACTTTGAGTTTGATGAAAACAAAGCTATCAACTATCCTTACTGGAATACACAGAAAAAAAAAAAAAAGGCAAGAATATTCTGTCCTTTTCTTGCACAACACAGAAAGCAATACACTCCACTGATTCAGAACACAAAACGTGAGCCAAGCTGTAAGACAGTAAAGGTTTAATATAAAGTCTAACAGATACTCCTTACTTCAGAAACTTTTCTGAAGGCAATGCCCGCTTACAGCAATGCCCGTTCCAGCTTAAGGATGTCACTAATGATTTTAACATTATTTATACATAATAGAAGAACACTGTATTGGAAAATCAGAAACCTAGAAATAATTTTAACATACTGACATGTTCTAAGTGAAAATGAACAAACCAAAGTAAGGAGGTCCACATTAAGTCAAATGGAAAGTTACAGTGGTAACAACTGGAGTTAAAGACCAAATACAGTGTTTTTCAATTACTGAAATCACAGCAGACTGCAACTTTGAACAACTAATGAAAGGCAGACAAATATTGGCAGTCATACAAATTATACTCAAGATATGATACATCTATGCTCAATACCTACTCATTGACAAACAAATGACAGGGGTGGGGAGCTTTACTTTGGCCTAATACACTGAGGCTTCATCTTATTTTTCCTTCATTTTTATTTGCAGGGAAAAAAATTGCATCTTTGAAATGGAAACAGGAAATGCAGAAATGTCTACTCACACGTTGTCGGCGTGAATGAACTGGTTCTTGGAGCTCCTTGAGTTGTTGGGGGAGGTGGCATTGTGGGAGGAGTCAGCCTAGACGGGGTCTTCACATCTACAGGTGAGTCTGGCATCGTGGAGTGCTTCTCAGTCCGATCTGGAGGACGCCACCATTAACATGTTACTTTACTCCTTAAGCCACTCAATTTTTTTAAGTGGGGCTTTTCACAAGCAAGTAAACAGAAGAAATCCAACATTTGTCGATAAAACAGGCTTATCTACTGCAGTTTAAATCAGGACTTGATCATCTAAACCCCACTTAAGAAGGTGTAGCACAGATGGCAGGGCCTCATTTGAAACTGGGTTATTTTATATCCTATTGTTATTTCTGGCTTGGGCAGATGCTACCTTTGTAGTGTTACATGAAGCACAACTTCACTCTGAGCTGAAGCCAACATTAGCAAGAGGTAAAAAATAGATGACGAAGTAGGATGGGAATGAGCCCCTCAACTCAGAAATCACACAAATGTGAAGCTGTTTGCAGGTGAGATACTGGCAGGGGCTGGTGTTCAGTGATGATCTCGTGTTGACACCTGCCAGCCGCTTTCCAGGCTATTTTGTGGTCTATTAGATGAAGCCGGTTATGTCTCCTGGATATACCTCTCATTTCTATTTTTTCTGTCCTATTTGAAAAATCACCACTACACAAATATGTCACACAATGAAATTAAGCTATTGCTTAATTAAAATTTGTTGAGTTTATGACCCACCATTTTAAAAACATGACCAATACTTCAATTAATCATCTCAGGCAGAATAAGAAGGGGAAAGTCCAAAAGTGAAAACTAAGCAGAACGGCCCCCTCCTTATATTTTTTTCATGTGTATGTGACAGACATGGAGAAATCTTCTGATTACCCAATAATGAATGTTTGCGATGCAGGACTGTTTTCTACTAAGTATACTTTCCCTTGAGAATTCTAAACTTTTTTTTTTCTCAATCTAATCTATTTATCAAGGAACAGATCTCCAGTAAAAAAGCAAGGGCTTTTGTTTGTTTCTTTAGAATGATCCAGGGTTCTACAAACATTATGTACCTACACACGCCCATACTCCAAAAATCTTTGAGTTGCCTCTTGTAGGCAGAAACACCTCTTAGGTGCAGGTATTTCCCATATGGACGTTTTTTGAAAAGTAAAGTGACATAGACTATTGATAAAGAATGGGCCTTTTTAAAACATTATGATAGCCATAGTGAGAAATTCTCAAGATCACTTAAAAGTCAATTATTAGAAAAAAATGAAAAGTCTGAATTACTACTATGGCAATTCCACATCTACCTCACTCTAGCCAAAACAATTTCTTAAAGACTTGGGTTACAACAGAACAGAACATTTAAAAATTGAAATAATGTTGATAACATATCAGAGAAGATGTAGTAAAACAATTATCATTCTAATAAGAGCGTTTTGAATAATGATCTAGTTACCAGTATCAGGGTCTCTCTCTCTCTCTTAAGCTCTACTGCTGGCTAAATAACAGAGTGCCCCTTTTGTAAATAAATGTTCTCAGTGAAATGATGGTAAAGACACATATGGACAGCATGTTTGCCTTTATCTTACCATTAAAAAACTTGTCTTCATATTGCTATTTCAGAGCACTTAACAAGCAGTATCAGTAAATCACTTATTCTAGAAAAATACAGACGTTAGGCAGGTTTAAAACCATTTCTTCAGTACTTAAATTCATTGCACAGTCTACTTACCTCAACCAACCTCAGCAACAAGGGAATAAATAGCTTTCCGCTTATATTGCAGCTGAGGGAAGAGGTACAGCAGCAATACAAGTCTCCCTAAATAAAGGCAAATATTTCTGTCATGCCAAGGAAGGAGGGAGAAAGGGAGGCTTGCCAGAGTCGGCTGGGAGATAACAGTGGGAACTGCTCGTCCATCTGGCTTTCATTCCGCTCACACTCACACGGAACTGTGAGAGAAGGCAGTCCAGACACACAGATTGGAAGCACGTGCTTGCCCAGAGAAAGGAAGAGCAGGGGGGGGAAGGGGAAGTGGGAATAAAGACAAATAAATAAATAAAGCAATAGAAGGCAAAGAGAAGAGTGAGCAAGGACCAGAGCAGGGACCACAACAGGGTGAAAAGAGCCTGAACGGGGAGAGGGTTCCCTGGACAGCTTCATCTACTCCTAAAAGCTGAGCCTTAGCAGAACAGCCACTATCTTACTGACCCCAATGTGGTTCCTGAACAACACCTAAACTGGAAAATTATCTTAAACCCATTTCTTAAAACTCTTTTTTTTAAAAATCCCACAGTAAGAAAAAAAGGAATAACCTATAAAGTTAACAGTGATTTTTTATTTCTCTCTTCCACCCAATTTTAGGCAGGTTTTTATAAATTTATAATTTTGATTTGAACACCTTTTGAATACCTGGCTTGATCCACATTTATAACATGAGTCCTATCTGGAAGAACTTAATAATACTAACAACAATAAAAAGTAGACAAATTTTGATACCTGAAATGTCATCTATATTTTAGGAATAAACTAACAACCACGGAGCCAATGAAACACAAAACACCACTCCTTCTAACAGGAATAGATAATTCTAACTGGAACACATGTATGATGTGTTATGTATTTAGGATTTTGACATTAGCCAAATTTCTGCGATGGTTAGCTTGACCCTGATCAAGTGGAGTTCCAACCCAGAGGTCCTATAAACTTATACAAAGTGGGACCATATGTAACTCATTCTGTGTTGTACAGTGCAATCAATCCAGGATGGAGATGGATGGTGGAACAAGCAGCCAGGCCTAAACCATCCCCACACCAAAACCCTCTGGAGCAGAGATTTAAGATAAATTCAGAAAATGTGTTTCAAGTATGCTGAGTTCCACTGCATTTGTTTTGGATTACTTAAGAAAAAAAACATTATGAAATATATATTCTTGAAACTTTTATAGCAAACAGCAAAAGAGCTATGATTTAACCACAGAAGTACTTCACTCTATTTCAAATTAGAGGATACAGTAAAACCAATATTAAGTTATAAATATTTGTTATGTAATTTTTTAAGTTCATGAAAATTGTACCATTCTCATATGTTCTATTTTTAGTTGCTGTAGGAGAATGCTGACATTTACTCAAAGAACTGACAAACTGATAAAAAAAAAAAAAAAAGGAGACCACTATCAGATCAGGAAGGTACTGATCTGTGATGATAAGGACTGACTCTACTGCTACCTGAATGATTCACATCACTTCTAAACAAGACCTGCCCTATGTGGTAACATTTCAACTCATGTGGTGAACATCTCCCACATAGGTACCAAAGATGGCCAATGCATAGAAGAAAATAGGACATACATAAATACACTCCTGATACCATTTCAATATCCAACTCGATGTCGGGGACTTCCAGAAGTGGTATGCTTTCCATTTTTCCTTTTGCTTTTTTTTTTTTTTTTTAAGTAAAAAGAAGAGGTATGGCATAATCTACCATAGCAGTTATTTTACTTTCAGTTAGTTCAAATAGTTCCAGATGTGTATTTAAGGTATGAAGACCAGATATTCTACATACTACTTGTTTACATACCCTTCCAGAGATGATATGGGTAAAAAGTTCCACATTAGGAGATGGTACATCTTTTTCCATCAGAGTTCACCATGTCAATTATAACAGAAGAAATCTCCATGTCTCAAAGGTGTTACTGACTGAGGAACTTCTTGGTCAATTAGTAGTAAGTCCAGAGTTCACCTTACTTGAGTGTCAATTAAGGAAGCTAGAAGGTATGCACGAAATAGGACTAAGCCCAAGTGGAACTGAGGCACAACCATTGGAGAAGGCAGATAGGAAAGAAAAAAACTGGGCACAGAATTCGATTTTTATTTCTCTGAAAAATACAGCAAATATAGTTCTGGCAATAGAGTCAGTTAGTGACCCCAATGTCTGTGTGTCAGGTGTTACAGGAGACTCTACAAAACAGTGGCCGTCCAGGCTCCAGAGGGCTACCATCTCATTTCCCTGATGAGCACTTCTGGTAATGTTCATTATGGCTTAGAACCCTCCCAACAATGCCCAAGACAAGAAGTCAAATGCCAACATTTTAAACACAACAGAATGATAATGTGGAAGGACATCTGACGTAACAGAACTTCTGGGCTAACAAAGACTTGCTTTCAAAGATGGACTCTCAACTATGAGTACTGAGCCTTCTGTAAAGCTGGTTATCATGAGTCTCAGTCCCTCAAACGGAGAACGGGGAGACAATCCTCCCTACCTCACCAGGAGGCTGGCATGGTCCCTGCTCATACCAGGCACCAAGGCGTGTGAGCTCCGTTCTCTAGTGGGCCTTCCTCTCTGAGATCCATTCACGGCTTTATTTCCAATGTCTTTCCCCCAGGGCTACCTACACAGGGCTTCTTGGTAGTCTCTGGCTTTTCTGTTTTTCTTTTTTTGGTGTTGCATCCTTCATCTAGAAGGACCTGTCCCAGTTTGTATTTTCTTCCCTGCCCATCATAGATTCCACACACTCTCACCACTTCCCCCAGGTGCCCCAGGCACCAACCACCTCCTGCTTCCTCTGTCTTTCCTTTAGCATTTATCACAGCCCATCTGTACAACAGTTGTGTATACATATTATATACCCACAACCCCAACCAGTGGAAATAGTAAGCAGCTTTATGGCAAAATTTTTTAATGCCTCCTTAGGAAGGCATTTAATAAATAAACATAACCATGAATCTTGTAAGAAGGATGGTTTCACTCCTAACTTTAACAAATCCATTCCTTGTATTATAGCAGTTCAAAGACATCAACCCTAATTTCATGACAAAAGACAAACACACAACCACCAACAGCATATAAATATTTTAGAGAATAGAAGTATTATGGGAAGACACTGGAGACCTAATATTTAGTTCAACTCTGCAATCAACTTATGTGGCTTTAAGCAAGTGTAAGAATGACTTGTTACTTCAAGTCTTACCGCAGGTATTTTATGAAGATCGTTTTTTCTTAAATACAAATCTGATCTTATCTATTCCCTGATTTAAAACCTTTGGGAGTGTCCCATTGTCTGCAGAATAAGATAAAAGCTCTTTAGTGCAGCTTATGTTATAGACACTGTTGAATTTCTACTC